CCCAGGCCTCGTCAAAGATCGATTTGCACTAATCATCCACATGTGTTGATCGTCCTCCGAGTTCCATTCCACACTCTCCTCTGGATCAGAACACATGAAAACCAAACGTTTAAATAAATGGGAAGTTTGGAGCACAGAGCAGAAGAGAACACAGATGGCATTAAAGCGTGCACGTGACAGTCCCAGGGCTCCTTTAAAGGATCATTCCAGTGTTGTTATCTGTGTCGGTCCATTCACTGCATCTGCAGGTCAAATGAAGTGTTCTCCAAACCATGGCCCGGCTTCTCTGATGTCCCCAACACGTCTGTTCAGAGTGGAAATAAAATCACCTTGACTCTTCTGTAGTGAGCACGACCGGCTGTAGACGGTTCACACACATATGCTTTTATTAAATGTTCTCCACCACATTTTTACCTTTGAACTCTGTCTGAACCAGAATAAACAGGTGAAGCATCTGTCACTGGTTATTGAATGTAAAGATAAAACAAGTCTCAATATTTGCACAGAATAAGTAGCGTTAAATTACTTTACCATTTAAACCAAAGGCAACTAGAAGCTCCAGGAGAAATCTAGTAAGTGCATCTTGAGTTAAGGAATGTTGTTGTCAGACCGTTATTTCTGTCCAGGAGAAATAGATCCCAGATTTATTTCCAAATGCACAGAGATGAAACTGATATCTGATGCTATTTCCAGAAATAATTAATCAATCTTCACATCAAACTCTGGAAACAACCAAGTAGCCAGACTGATATGGGAACATCTACAGTGACAGGTCAGCTGATGGTAACTTATACTGGGAAGTACTTTCCATCCTGCTGGGTAGCTGGTGGATTTCCTGCTGGGATCAATAGAGTCTGATGGTTCTACTGGTTTGATTCATCTGATTCTGGACCTGAAGTTATCAGGTACATGTAGTGTAGTAAAAAGTACACGGTCTGTCTCTGACATGGAGTCACAGGATGAAGGAGCAGGACGTGAAGTACTCAACTAAAGTTCAGATACTTCAGAACTGTCCTTCAGTGCAGTGCTTGGGTAAATGTCGGTTGCCTTCCACCTCTGCAGCTTGTTATACTATAGATTTACACCACAGCAAAGGCTCCGAACACTTCTGTAAACAGAGAGTTCAGTTTGTGATTATTAATGTGTTTGGGTCCTGACTGTGGGGCCGTTGAAGCCTTTTGACGTGAGCCCAGTTGAACACGTGTGTAGATACTACACACATCTCCTGGGTTTATACGTGACTATGCTGTGCTAGTACAGCAGCGTGCGCGTCTGTTCCACCTGCAGCACCTGCTCTGAGCCTCCTCCCTGATTTATCGTGTCATTGTGCTCTATATGACAAATGGCGTGTCTCCACCACTGTGACGAGTCTACCCGCGGTGTTGTTTAACCTCAGTGCACGTGTGTTTCATATTCTCATCTCCCTTCACTTGTGTAAGTGTGTGTACATCTGTCTGCGTTTGGTGATTAGTGGCTTTGTTTTGTCTAGATGTTCCCTTTAATTAACAGTCCCTGAGTGGGACTGCTCATTTGCATATTTACATATTTGCATAGCTATTGAGTTGCTGCTCTGGCTCAGCATCAGCAGAGGCTGCCCTGGGTCACACCTCTGCTCATATTGCTTTCTGCTCCACCTCCTTAGGGGTTAGCCTGCCTTATTTCCCCTCAAAGGCTCGTCCCCCGCTCCTCATCGCTCCTGTAAACCAACCAGACACAATCAGACGAGCACAGAGGGAATGAGATGAATCAGGAAGTGCTTCTGTGTAAACCACACACACAGTCACAGTGAGAGTAAGTGAGAGGGCCTGTTGCGTTGCCGGTGTCCTCTGTGACCTACAGAAAAGAGGCAGCTATTTCCATCACGCCATCCGCTCACCTCACTGACCGAGTAATGGAGCGATGCCGGTGCTAGATTGGCTTCCTCGCCTTCAAAACACCACTCAGCTGCTGCTGCCGGGTTTGGAAAAGCAGTTTAGCTCACCCTGGCCCAGTGCACGAGCGCGTGTTTGCATACATACCCCTGTCATTAGCGCGGGAGTTCTCGGTTTGATGGAGGTCATAAGGAGCCTGATGCACATAAATCTTAACATCTGCCAGATGTGTCCTGATGGAAACCACCAACAAGTCTATTAGAAGCTGTGGGTTCTCGGTCCAACACGGGGTCAGGCCACACAAATCATAACAGCACAGCTTTTTCCTGGAGTGGGTGGAGTGGCCTGAAACCAGGCACATAAAGCTGGAACTATCTGCAGGGAGGCACCTTTGGGGGGAAGTTGCCCTTCACCCCTGTTGAAACTACCGCACTCCTGTGATAGTCTCATATCCACCTCACAAAGGTTGCTCATACATTAGGTTAAACAAACTCATGTGTTTCTACATAAAACCTTTAAATGGTCATTTTAAAAGTACTGACTTTGGTTACACACAGACAGCATTGATTGGTGGATGTGCACATGCTGTACTGTCACACCACTAGAAAGGTGAACCAGGTGAGGGGTCTCCAGTCAGTGGGCTGGATGTGCACGTGTGCTGTTTACATCAGCTGATGTTAACGGCGCTGGCACATTAAGGAAAGAAAACTCCACACGACTGTTTTTAAGGTCATAGCTGCTGCAGCCAAGCGAGCGTCCTTCACAGGGCTTGTGAATCCCTGACAGGATGTTCTGCTGAGGGGCGAAGTGTTTAATGACCATTAGCATCTCTGTGATTTTAGTGGTGACCAGTTAAGTCATGCCAGTCATTTTTAGAGACTGCACACTACAACGCTGCAGTGTCTTTTACAACCTGGTAGAAAGCCAATGGCATTAACCTTGGGTAGTGAAAGTTCCTCAGATGTTGGCAGACGAGCCCTGAGTGTGTTGGCATGTTGCTGTTTAACCCACCAACAATGTCCCCGTCACATTTTCTCTTCACACACTCCTAACGCTGTCTACCAAGCCTCTGAAGTTTGAATCACAGTGGTTAACCCGGCAGCTCGGGCGTCTCATGGTTTTAACAGCTTTTCTACCATGACAGATTCTCATTATCTGCAATTTTTCACACTTTTGTTCGCATCATTTTGTGTCCTGTTGAAATGTCAGTGCAAACAAAGGCTGACCTTCTGTAGAGAGAGCACGCGTGAAGAAACGTGGCCTGCTCTGTTTTCCTGCTGCAGCTTTAGAGGCCAAAGTGTCGGTTCAGTGAGAGGACAGGCTCACAGGACACCTGCTGCAGCTGAGCTCTGACCCTTTGCACTTAACAACCACAAGGAGATGCAAAATGACTACAGAGTGATGCAGAACACCACAGAGAGGCAGGCTGCATCTCTAAACAGACCGTCGCTCAGTCTTAGGCGTTGACATGTCAGTGCTCAGTGTCATCACCTATTGCTGCCCGTCATCACACCTGCAAGACTGACGCCCTAACTGGAGTCTAACCTTCTGTGCTGCAATATAATGGACAATTAACAACTGCTGATATCACATTTTTATTTTAGTCTCCAAGGACATTTCAGACACACGACTATTTAATTTGTTCTTCACTTGACCATAAGCAGGCTGGGGACTGAGACACGGTGATTACTGTGGGTCTGCCGTAAAACCAGGTCCCCTCACATGCTGTGACTCTACGAGCAACGCTTTTCATTCCAGCAGAGATCAATCAGCAGCGGCTGAACGTCTCCGTCTCTAACTGAAGACCAGCAGCAATATGCGTAAAGTAATCAGCCTACGTGTACCGGCTCTCTGTGTTTAATCAGAATCTTTTCTCAATCAGCTATTTTGATGGTTGATGAATTATTTGCCATTTCCTCCAAAAATGTTGCACATCCAGTTCCAGAATCTCGTTTGTGAGGATTTGCTTCTCTCCTTTGTGGCCTTTACTACGAGGCTGATACGATGATTGGGGAAAATAAAGGCATTTTTAAATACAACAATTAATCATGAAACTAATCAGCAGGCTGGATGATGCAGAAATGATCACTGCTAGTGATGACTGACATGACAGGAGAGTCTCAGCTCAGCTTTTTATGTGTCAAATCAATATTTTGAGCTCATTAAACTTGGAGTTGTGAAAGTCACAGCTGAGTTGGTCGTAACACGGTCATGTTTCCTTAGAATTACAGGAGCCTGGATCAGTGCAAAGGTCCTGTGCTGGGCTCCGTCTCTGACAGAAAGCTCATTCAGCCCTGGGCCACATGTCCATGCATCTGGAGGGTCGGCCCAGATGTGAATTCGATGGGCTGGACTTGTGCTGTGTCAGGCTGGTCGCGGGTCACTGGTTTAAAGCAGGGGGTCTCACGAGCTGAGGGAGTCTACCGCCTCTGGATGTTTGTGTATCTGCATGTTGAGTCCATAGAGAAGGGGCAACTGTAACATTGTTTAAAGGCTTGTTAGATTTCTTATTATTAATCATCAGTGTGATGGAATATGGAAACTTCAGCTTTGCAGTGAAATGTGTCGTTTACCTGCAGCTGCTGTAAAGTGCAGACAAACAGATTTCTGAATTCTAGTCTCTGATGTAATCCTCCTCTTTCACAAACCAGCTACTTCGACATTTCCTCTGCGGCTCTCGCTAGAAATGAAGTGTAGGTGTGATAGCACTCTTATTAGCGATGCAAAGAGATTCGTGTCTTTAGTTGTGGTCCACAAACCTTTCAGAGCACTCTGTAGGTGCATGGCTAGTGGCACCGACCAGATTTAATTACACTTCCTGTCAATCAGAGCGGTCCCCGAGCAGTCGCTGCAGCTCCCGCCCCCAGCAGGAGACCAGGTTCATGGAGACTAAAATAAAAAGAACGAGTCCACTTTGAATTCTTGTTCAGACAAACATGATTCGTGTGCTGTGCACGATGGCTCCTGCCACTGCATGTCCTTCTGTCTGACTGAGGGTGGGAGGTAGATGCTGAGGGCTTGGAGGAGCAGAGACAGAGCTCAATGTGCTTCCTGGTTGCTCGGTGGCCTCTGCAGTGCTGCTCTCCTGTTGGCCTCCGGTACTGATCTATCTGTGCTGCTCTCTTCTCTTCTGTAAATCGCAGGAAGAGACACCTACTCACTGTGAGAAACACAAAACAGCATCGCATACCGAGCACAGCCTGTGCACCATGTGCAAGTCACAAGCCACAAGCCTGCACTGTTGTTAGGTGTGAGGGAGTTTTCTGCAGCCGATCTAAAGGCAGCTGTTTCACAGCTGTCTCATCCTGCGTTGTGTCTCCGCTCTGCTGTTTATGGAGAGTTTGGTGCATTTAGAATACTGCACATTCACACTGTGCACAGACCTCAAAGTCCAAATGATTCTGGGCATGGAGGGACTGTGACACAATGGGGACATTTTGTGTGTCTTTCTAGTCATTCTCCATCTGTTTGTGGGTACTTATAGTGTCTCCCTGCAGATGTTTTGTGTCTGAGAATATTTTGTGTCTTGTGCAAAACTTTTGTGTCTCTTTCTGGGATATTTTGCAGGTAAGCTCCACGGGCCCCCTGGCCCCCTGGGACCCCGGGCCTGTGGTCAGTAGTCTCCTTCAGTAATCCATCCACGATTCTGGGTTTGGGTCAGTTTCACAGCATCATGTGGGAGCAGGTCAGGTGGTCCAACAGCTATTTCACTGCATCAACGCCATGACCTTCAACTGCTTGCTGCTGCACAAAGACTCCAGCAGGTACACACACACACACACACACACACACGCGTCACGCTGCTGCTGCGAGTTCATACATTAGTTAGTCCACCTCAGTCTGCATAAGCAGCTGTGTGGCATCTTCTTTGTGTCTGGACACAGAGTTTTACATGCAGCACTGTGCAAAGGTTTGAACCATTTTAAATGCAGCACTGTGCAAAGGTTTGAACCAATAAAAGCAAAGTTTAACAAATACTCCAACGTTCAGTGGCTGAAGTACGTGACTTCTACAGGTTGTTGTGTCTCAGTGGTCAGATTTTGGGTGGAGCTATTTTAAATCCAGTGACCATCCAGCCACTCCCCCCCCCACTCTTTTCTGCAGTCTGTGGTCATGCACACTGGTACAAAGCAGATTAAGAACTCATAGAAGGACCTGGTCCATGTTCTACATGCACATTGTTCTTTACACGTGTCGGTTTGTCTCTGAGCGTGTTCAAGCTGCCAGAGGGACCGAGTCTGACGTGGACTCGTCAGTGCGTGCACAGACAGAGTCCTGAGAGCGAAAAGATTGTGCTGAAGCTTTGGGAACATTAGCTGCTGAGTATTATTGGTATGAAAGAGCAACTGTCCAACGCTGTGGAACATGACGTGAACGAGGACGTGTCAGGGACGAGCTGATGAAGAACAGAGCGAGAGCTGCTACATATACAGTATATTACTGATATAAGTACCTGTGAAGTGGAGTAACGTGTTTTGTTATTGGAGCAGTCTGTGTAAAGCTTCAGTTGTTTTCAGTGCCAATTTTTTTAGAGAAGGTCTTATGTGCTACATGTTGAGACATTTGTAAATATATTCATACACCATATGAAAGCAGCTTGTGTCTGGGACGTTGATTCTGATCATTTCTAACCGTCCATCACGAGTCCTACAGTGGCGGCATGACGACTCCATTAAGGTCATTTGTCTGTGATTAAATATGTCTATTAATTGCTTAAACCTTGGCCATGAAGACTGAACGCTGCTGCTGAGAGCACATCACACACACAGTAAACACTCGCACACTTCACATGCTCTCTCTGAAGCATACAAAATGAACTTAAATGAGATGTAGAGGAATCGTACAGTTTGACCCAACACGCCCACACGAGCGCGTGGGCTTTCATATGCTGATGAATATCTCAGTGGTTTGAAAGAAATGATTTGAAGCAAACGTCTGTGCTGTTTCAGACACAAACACTTGCATTTTCTCTAATTGCTGAAGACTTTCAGGCCTTAGAAGAGAAGAGAGCTGGAGCAGTTCTCTAACCTCGGCCTTGACCATGAAACCACTAAACACTGTCAACGGTGCAAATGTGCAGCAGAAAAACAGCAGCACACTGAGCGAGTGAAAGGACGTGACACAATGTGACCTGAATACACGAGAGGCTGCAGATGATTTGACCAGGTTTAGCCTGATTACACTTGTTAGCTCTTTACATTTCTTAGCTTTTTGTGCCTGCTGACTTCTCCTCCCCAGTGTGTGAAATGTCCTCCACAGTCGGGCCACAATCAGGCTGGCAACCAACAATTATGTTTATTGTCATGACTCTCATAACCTGCAGAGTTTCTTAATGAGTCTGTGCTCATTTTGGGAAACTGAAAAGGGCCTTTACATGCTCAAGGGTCACGTTTGGTCTGATCAACAGACCAAAGAGTCATACATGATAATGAACCACTGAAGAGGCAGGAAGCAGCGAATATGTGGCACATAAAACTCTGACACTGAGGAGGCAGGAAGCAGCGAATATGTGGCACGTAGCCTAAACATTGAATGTAAAGATTCATTAATTTGTCAAAGCTGTTTCTGATTGATTTTCTGTTGGCCAGCTAATCAATTAATTGACTACCTGTTTCAGCTCTACCCACAACCTGACCCATCATTAAAACTGGACTCAGAGCTGCTGCTGGGCAGTGAAGGCAAACTGCTGTCAGGGATCAATACTTCCATCTAACACGTCCTGTGTGCGTCTCCTCCCTCTGAGCCACACGGCTCCACTGTGTCCACACACCAGTAAACCCAGCAGCGACCACATGGCTCCACCTTGTCCACACACCAGTAAACCCAGCAGCGACCACACGGCTCCACTGTGTCCACACACCAGTAAACCCAGCGGCGACCACACGGCTCCACTGTATCCAAACCACGGGTTTCACTGTCCTGCTGCCACTAACACAAACTAGAGACCAAATGTGGATTCATCCGCCTCTGGAAATAGTCCCCAACACATGCACAGTGAGCAGCTGTTTGAGGAAACGACATCATGGTGAGGTGTTTTTAAAGGAACCATCCATCAGTAGGTCAGAGAATGTTAAATAAAATATAGACCATTTGACTATAAGCGTGCTGCTCCTCATCTGTTAAACGTTAACCCTCCAAATAAACGTCAGTCACAGTGTTGATCAGTCATATAATAAACATCTGAATTGCTAGTTTGAGACCCTTCGTGTTTTACACAGTACACGTCCCCCTACCCCGGTTCTAGACTCGGTCTGCCCAGTTCAGCTCCTCAGAAACTTCCCCTTCATGCCTCCATCACTGTATTCGACATCTGTTTATGTAGGAAAAGTCAACCAGTCATGCAGGTGCTCTTTACTCAAGGGCACCTCGACTGCAGTCACCAAAGGAGGGAGGGGGGAGTGTTCCTCATTTACGTCCCCACCTCAGGCTCCTCTAACCTTTAAAGCCAGTAGTTATCAAGCAAATGTGCAATTTTGACTCAATTAAACACTCAGGCAGCTGCTTTCACTGATTAGTTGCTCCTCTCACTGGAAAATAATCAGTGAAACAAGGTGCATCAAGCTGAAAACCTCTGGAGTGAATGTGTGCAGATGAAAAAGCCTGCAGGTCTTGCACACACCTGATTGGCTGCTGAAGGCCACATTACTCACCTGCAGAGAGCGTCGGAGCGGCAGGTATGCCGGAGCTCCAGGCAGGTGGGCTTGTGCCTCTCCTGGTGGGAGCAGGAGGGGACGATGGTGCGGCGGCGGCGCTCGGCACATGCCTGGTCCGGGCAGGAGCAGAACAGCAGAGGGTAGCTCAGCTCCCACGGTACTCGCTCGAAGAACTGACGTAGGGCCTGAGAGGGCAAACACAGACGATACCATCATCCATTCATCAGGCTTTATTCATCTGGGTGTTTAACCAGAGCGGGGAAGATTCAGAAAGGCCAAATTAAAACAAACTAAACCCACAAATCATTTGAAGTTCATTGATCCTTATAATACTGTAAGTTCATCTACTGTGTACTAACTAAACATACATAGGCACAGAAGGCAGAGAGGCGTCCTGGATGTTGTTACTTTGTTCTGCTCATAAAATCGTCAAACTATTAACAAACACTGGTTTAAACCTCCAGTCGTAAGTGTGACACTTCGCTGTGGTGACCCCTAAACGGGAAAAGCCAAAAGTGACTCTTACTGGTTTAAACCTCCTGCAACCCCGTTTGGGACTAAGCAGTCTAGATAAAGGATGGATGGTTTAAACCTGATCTGAAACTGGTTTTAACAAACCTCCCAGTGTTCTTTAAATCTGACATGCACACTGGTCTTGCCCTCCCCATCCTGCCCACCAGGGAGACACACATGCACCGAGGTCGCTGCTGTGTCCTGGAGGATGTCCACCTGTAAATACTGCTCATCAGACTGTTCTGAGAAACTTAGATTTATTCCATCCAGTTTATCAGTTTGATCTAAAGAGTCAGTGGTCAGTTTATTAGGAACACCAGCAGTTAGCTGCTGCTCAGCTGCACTGCGTCACACAGAGAGCTGGTTCTGCTACATGGCCTCATTGATGTGAACTGAGCAGCCATCTATGAGCATTAGCTCCCTTAAACCAGTCAGTGTTTACTGTAAGCTAACACCAAGAACATTTATCTGCCTGTTAGTGCAGCATCACGTGTGCAGGTAGAAGCAGCTTTCCTCTGAGTGGCCGGTCCACAGGCATGGACGGATCATGAGCCAGTGGGTCCTGAGGCACACACAGGTAAAAGGCCCCCACCCTCCTGTACAGGACCATCAGTTCATTGGTGTGTCCTTGTGCTAGTCTTGCATCTCAGTGATCGTTCCGGATCCCCGCGCAGTCCCTTTGTGATCATTTTCTCTGTGCTCACTTTGAGTCTGTCTGTGTTCGTTTTGCGTTGAACTGTAGTCTTGTTGCTGTCGAGGCTCCGGTTTGTTATTCAGGCGTTTTAAATCTTCCACATCAGAGGAGCAGTTTAACAGTATAAACCACCTTAGCAGACACAGGAAGCAACCAGGAACAGCAAATTAGCAGAGCAAAAGTCAGATTTTTAATTCCCTTCTCCTCCTGTGACCCCAGAACGATTATGTAAAAGAAGGGAAGGTGCACTTATAGCTGTTAGCAGCCACAGTAACAGCTTCACCATTTAGTAGAAATGGAGAGAAGGAGCAGAAAAAGAAACGTTAATAACCTTTTAGTCTTAAATAAGCTTTTAGCTTCCACAGGTACAGCAGCCTGCGTGCAGCAGTAGCAGTGTCATGATATTATTGCCGAGCTCTGCCTCGTGATCCTGATGACCGTCGTCTCCTTCAGAAGCTCCTGAACCTCAGTGAGATTTCTGGTTCAGCTCAAGGTCCACTTACTAGGTCTTCTTCTGAGAGCTTTCAGCCACGTCACATGGTCTTCATCAGCAGAGGGAGTTGGCTCGGCTGTCATGGAGATGGATGTGTTGACATGTGAGCTCAGCAGCAGTAATGATTGGATCCTTGACACTTTTAGGACGTCTCAGCATCAAACTTCGTTCCAAGCCTCATGAAACACGCATGTCGAACTTAAGTTGACGGTTTGGGATTTTGTTGTTGGGACACACACGTCGAGTTGAGTTGACGGTTTGGGATTTTGTTGTTGGTTTATTTTTCAAGTCTTGTTAAACAGGGTGTATTTTACTCAAATCATTTGTCCATTTATGTGGTTTTCCAGCTTATCACAGATGTTTTTGTTGAGCATATTTTATTATATAAGTTCTAATATGTTGGCTTGTTCAGCAGCAGCGTTTGTGCTGCGCCTCCTCCATCAACATAATCAAAGCAGTGAGCTACAGAAAAACCACATTAAACCAAACGCCCCCCCCACCAAACTGATATCTGACTGCACTTACCTTCTGACACCTTTTCCGGCTGCATGGCTCCTGATTGGCCAGAGAGGGCTGTGGGGGCGTGGCCTTGCTGCAGATAGAGTTGTAGGCTGATCGCAGGCGTTTACACGTCTCGTTGAGGTTGCACGCCTTCGCCGCATCCAGACAGGGGTTACAGGGTTTCCCCGCTTCAGAGCAGGGGCTCATCTTCAACAAAGATGAATCTGAACAAAAAGAGAGAGAGAAAATAAAAGATTTAAACTAATTTACAGTAACATCCTGAGCTGTTTGGGTTTAATAAAACAATAATCATGAATTTGTTGCAGCGTCTCCCTGGTAGATGGTGCACGTGGGGCCTGGAGCACAGCACACCAGTGATTTCAGGCTGCATGTGGGATACCTGTGTCGTCTCATGACATCTGCAGCGCGGTCACAAGGTTAATGTAAAGCATAAAGCAGGACGTGGCTTCACTAACGTGCACAGTTGTTCAATATATGTGGAGATATGATAGGATCAGTCTCTAAAGGCCTGAGAGGGAACAGCGCACGGACACTGCCGTACATCTGATCCAGTCATCAGCAGTGGCAGCTGTAGTTGAGGAGAAATGAAACATACATAGGTTTGCTGTTGTGTAATAGCTCCTCAGGAGAAAGTCTGCATGGAAAGGGGGGGGGTGAAGTTCACAGACATACTAGTACAAAACAAAGCCATCCGTCTGTTGTCATGCTGAGCGTGCTCCTTTATGGGAACGCAGTGCTGGAAAGTAACAGATTACATTTACTCGCGTTACTGTAATTGAGTAGTTTTTTGTGTACTTATACTTTTTAAAGTAGTTTTTTAAATCTGTAATTTTACTTTTACTTTATGTTTAGTTTGAAGTATTGTACTTCGCTACATTTTAAATCATATTTGTTACTGAGTAAAAAATAAATTAATTCAAAAAATAAAAGTATTGCAACGGGGAAGGAAAAATAATCGCACCCTGGAAGAACTGCACTGATTGATTGATTGATTGATTGATTGATGGGCGGGGAGAACAAGCGCACTAAACTCACAAGAAGATGGAGATGGACGAAGGAGGCGCCAGTGATGGAGCCACAGCTGAAAGCGAAATGCCATCAAGTTCCTCATATAAAGCAAACCCCTGGCCATATTTAAGCGACCAGTTTCATTTTAAGCGCAAGAAAGGCAGCAGCTTTATTATGCAGTGTAAGATGTGTTTGCCAAAGTCGACTGAACTGGCAGCTTATAAAAACTCGACATCAAACCTGTGCAAGGTAAGTTTAACTTACTAAGTTAATATTACTTGTATTTATAGTTTACATAATTGTTGTA